GAGAGTGTTCTGGGTTCTATTTCACATTTCAGGGATCTTGTCGAAAGCTCTCTGGAGACCCAAATCTGGTCTATCCTCCCCCAGCTTTGATGAACTCCCGAAAAATGTGTAAACTGTTTTCCTGTGGGGTTTTTAAACCTCCAGATGTCAATCAAATCTAAATTTTCTTGGAGGTCATCAAAGGTTTTGGGGAGTTTCCCCTGGTTCCCTTTCCTTCTTTTTTCACTTCTGTCTGTTTCGGGTTCTGGGACTCCATTCAGGTCACCTAGTACGATTAATTTATGGTTTTCCAATTCTAGTAATATTTGTTCCAGTTTCCTGAAAAACTCAGTTTTATTTGTATTGGGAGCATAAACTGTCACTACATTAATTCTTTTCCCTTGGTGTGTAATTTGGACTCCCAGGATCCTCCCTTCCTCATCTTTACAGATTAGTTTGGGTTCCAATTTCTCTTTCACATAGATCACCAACCCTCTCTTTTTACTTGCCTCTGAATTTATAAATTCCGTTCCTAATTTTTTGTTAACCAGTATATGCTTGTGTTTTTTCGCTACATGCATCTCTTGGCAGCAAACCACGTCACATTTTTTATTTCTCAGAACTTTCTCTATTTTATTCCTTTTTGATTTTTCATTTAGACCGTTAACATTCCATGTTAAAAAAGTTAAGGACATTACTGAAATTAAGTGTCAAGTTTATTTCTAGCTTTCAAACCCTGGCTTCTTCTTCTTCCGTGTTCTCCTCCTCCGCCTCACCTTCCTCCTCCACCTTCTCCCCGCCGTCTCCCCCTCCCTCCCCCCTTCGCAGCCCCGTTCCTTCCCCCTCCCCAGCTCTCTCACCTCCTACGTCTTTCCTGTCTTTTACTCTGTCCTCCTTTTTACCAAGCTCTCTCTCGTATCTTCTCAGGAACTTTTCTACATCTAATAGGTTGGTCAGTTTAAACTTCTTATCCTTAAAGAAAAAAGCAATTCCTTCGGGGAATTCCCACCTAAATTGGATGTTGTTCCTTCTCAAGACACCTGTTATATATCTATATCCCTCCCTCTTACGTAATAGTCTTACTGGAATCTCTTTGAGGACGATTATTGGTCTGCTGCCTATTATTAATTTTTTATGATAACTCGTTTTGAGTATCAGATTTCTCATTCCTATTGAATTAAACACTACTAAGCAATCCCCAAGGGGTTTTCTAGTCTTATTCTGGTACGTTCTTATTTTAATTCTGTAGGCGTTGTCTATCGTATATGCGACCTCCTCCTCCTTCATCTCTAACCACTTAGCTAGTTCTTTAATTATTCTCTCCCTGATGTTCTCATTCATCTCCTCTTCTATACCTCTAAATTTTAGGTGCATTTGTCTTTGTCGCATTTCCGTCATTGCAATACTGTCCCATATCTGTTCCTGTGTCTTATTCAGTTCTCGCATCTCCTCCTTCACCTTTTCTGTCTCCCTTTTCTGTTCTCTCACATCTTTTTGGATTTTTTTGTTAGTTTCCTCGAATGTCTTAGTTTTGACCGTTAACTCTTGGACTTTGTTCGAAAGTTCCCCTTACTTTTTAGGAGAGAAAAAGTGAGTCTTATAGAGCAAAAAATATGGTATTTCATGACACAAGCTGGTCTTGGTATTGCTACTTCTTATGGACCTTATGCTGTCAAATAAATAAGGAGCAACAATTGCTTCCTCCAAAGTTGTTGGGGGACGACGACAGATAATTGAGTAATTTCAATGCTTTTGAATATTTGTTGATCTTTTAACAACTTTGATTTCCAAAAAAGCTCAACAACTTTGGGCGGCCTGCGCCCCCATGCTGTGCGGTGTACATAAAAATGGCTAAAACAGATGGGGAAAATATATCTACCACATAAAACACATGACGGCAAAGGTGGAACCATAAAATTAAACACAGACATCTTTTTCCTGCGAGGTTTCTGCAATTTCTCCTTTGCAGAAATTCTAATTCTATTCCTTTGTATGTTTCATTTTTCTTTGTGATTGTTTATGGCGTATATACATAAATTAAGTTTTTAATCCCAGTCTTTAAAACCCAGAAAAAGTCTCTTAAGCCTTTATTGATTAAATACAAGTTAAACAATGATGGTTAAATAAGAAATAACCAAAACAGGCTGCAGCTCTGCACCCTATTACCTGGAAGGAAGCCCCATTGAACTCAGTGGGACTTCCTTTTGAGCAGTGATAAATGTGTGTGTTCTGATCATACCTTTAAAATCCGCCCTGCATTCCATGCTGGTGTAGAGCCAGGAAGACTGCAGTCCTAAATCACACTTACCTGGGAGTAAGCCCCACTGAATACAATGGGACTTATTTCTCAGTAGGCATGGTTAGGATTGTGCTGTAAGCTGCTTGCCTATGAGGTCCTGGTGCCTTGCTTTGTCTACTGAGCATCATAGATTCATTTCCTGGCATCTTTCCAGCTTCAAAGCATCGCATGTGGGTAAGCTGCAGAAGGAACTAAATGAGATCTGGTAAGGGAGGAGGAGAGAGGTTGCCAGCCAGAGTGGTCAGCACAAAGGACCAGTGCTTTGCCCACTCTAAGACAGCATGTTGTTGTTGTTGTTTAGTCCTTTAGTCATGTCCGACTCTTCGTGACCCCATGGACCAGAGCACGCCAGGCACTCCTCTCTTCCACTGCCTCCCGCAGTTTGGTCAAACTCATGCTGGTAGTTTCGAGAACACTGTCCAACCATCTCGTCCTCTGTCGTCCGCTTCTCCTTGTGCCCTCCATCTTTCCCAGCATCAGTGTCTTTTCCAGGAAGTCTTCTCTTCTCATGAGGTGGCCAAAGTATTGGAGCCTCAGCTTCACGATCTGTCCTTCCAGTGAGCACTCAGGGCTGATTTCCTTAAGAATGAATAGGTTTGATCTTCTTGCAGTCCATGGGACTCTCAAGAGTCTCCTCCAGCACCATAATTCAAAAGCATCAATTCTTTGGCGATCAGCCTTCTTCATGGTCCAGCTCTCACTTCCATACATCACTACTGGGAAAACTATAGCTTTGACTATATGGACCTTTGTTGGCAAGGTGATGTCTCTACTTTTTAAGACGCTGTCTAGGTTTGCCATCGCCTTCCTCCCAAGAAGCAGGCGTCTTTTAATTTCGTGACTGCTGCATGTTCATCCCTAACTCTGGAAGACTTTAGGGACATAACATGATGGTCACTCCTGAATAAAAGGTAAAGGGACCCCTGACCGTTAGGTCCAGTCATGGCCGACTCTGGGGTTGTGGCGCTCATCTCGCTTTATTGGCCAAAGGAGCCGGCGTACAGCTTCCGGGTCATGTGGCCAGCATGACTGAGCCACTTCTGGCGAACCAGAGCAGCTCACGAAAACGCTGTTTACCTTCTCGCCGGAGTGGTACCTATTTATCTACTTGCACTTTGACGTGCTTTTGAATTGCTAGGTTGACAGGAGCAGGGAACGAGCAACGGGAGCTCACCCTGGCGCAGGGATTTGAACCACCGACCTTCTGATCAGCAAGTCCTAGGCTCTGTGGTTTAACCCACAGCGCCACCCGTGTCACTCCTGAATGTTGTTGTTTAGTCGTGTCCAACTCTTCGTGACCCCATGGACCAGAGCACGCCAGGCGCTCCTGTCTTCCACTGCCTCCCGCAGTTTGGTCAAACACTCACTGCCTTGCCATGGCGAAGGGGCTTGAATAACTCAGAGAAGCTATGAGCTATGCCGTGCAGGGCCACCAAAGATGGACAGGTCATAGTGGAGAGTTTTGACCAAACGTGATCCATCTGGAGCAGGAATTTGCAAGCCACTCCAGTATCCCAGCCAAGAAAACTCCATGGACAAAGACAACAGGCACTCCTGAATAGCCAGATACAAATTAATGCCAGTGTGGTATGGCGGTTACAGTGTCAGGCTAGGATTTGGAAGACCAGGGGTCGATTCCCCACTCAGCCATGAAACTCATGGGGTGACCTTGGCAGTGCCACTGCCTCTTGACCTAACCTACCCTTACAGGGTTGTTGTGAATGATAAAAATGAGGGAGTACCATGGACACCAACTTGGAGCTCCTTCGATGGAAATGCAATATATAAACGTAAGAGATAATACTATTCGCTTGCAAGAGCCACAAGCTTGTGGAGACTAAAGTTGCTTTCATCAGAAACCAGACCCAGGGCATGTTAAGAATTTTGCAGCAACGGACTGCGGGGCTGGGGGCGGTGTTCCTGCATTGCAGGGGGCTGGACTAGATGATCCTTGGATCCCTTCCAACTCTGCAATCCTATCTTTCTATGACCACCAGAGACACGTGCAGTTTGCCTTACCCATCCTAAGGGCTATCGGGAGTCAGGAAGGCATCGCTGTATATCTCCTACAATTACCTCCAGCCCATCACCTGCCGGTAGATCCCGATCGACCTTATTGCCCTGACAAAACACGCACACGCAGCTTTTGCAACGAGCCGCCTCTCCTACGCGACAAGTTTGCGGCATGGGGAGCGGGTTCCTCATCACAGCTGAGACGTGCTAACCGTTCAGGCAGGAGGGCTGCAGAGAGAGGGGTGTGTGCCCCCTCTTTCTTTGCAAGCATCTCCCTACAGGGCACCTGGAGGTCGCAGAGGCAGAAAATCAGGTCAGAGACAAAAGGCACACTTGTCTTCTCAAGGACAGTTTCTCCCAAGCACGCTTTCGGGTCTGCCTGAAGTCCCTGGCCTGCGGCGGCCGTCCACATGGCTCCACCAGCTGCAGGCGGGAAGGCGCCGAGCGCGCGCGATCTCCGTGCCCTTGAAGAGATGCGCAACGACCTTGCCTGGGCTTGGTAGGGGAGGTTGGACGGGGCGCGAGGAGAGCAACTCCAGCCAAGAGCAGGCGTTGCACATCAATGCTCCAGAACCAGCCCCCAGCTCCAGCCTACCGCTCCGCTTCCTCTGGACACTCACAAACCCGACAGCCCTCTCCACCTCAAACGCAGCTCGGCCGCGACGCGCTAGTCCCTGCCTCCGCGCCTCGCTCCCTCCCCGGGCCGTTTGCTTGGAGAGCTGTCCAAGCGCCGCCGTGACCCTCCTGGGGCTCAAACCTAGCCCTGGTCGAACACGTCCCCTTCTCCTTCCTCTTCCTCGCCGGAGCCTATGTGCCAGACGCCCACATGGAAATCTCCATGCGCGCCCGCACCACAGCAGCACCTAACCAAAGCGCAGCGCTTTGGAGAGGCCAGCCAGCCCGCCGCAGGAGTTCCGTTGGGGGTGTCGCCTTTCGTTTTGAACCCTCTCTCGATTTGCTCGGCCTCCTCTCTGCCCGCCCCCTCCCCGAAAGAAGACCGGGGCAGGCCCCTCGTTGAGTAGAAAGGGGGATTTTTGGGGGGCTTTTATTCCCCGCCCCGCAGGAGGCGGAGGAGGAGCAGCGCCGCCCTCCTTTGCGCGCCGGGGGCCTCCTCCTCTGGCGCAGCGCGGGCGGCGGAGGCGCCGACCAGGCGAGCCGGAGGGCGCTGCTTTGCAGAAGCGAGAAGCCGCCGAGGCCGCTTCCCCGCGCCGGGGAAGAACTTTCCGCCCGGCCGCCGCCGCCTCTCTCCCTCCGCCGGGGGGCGGCGATGCGGGGCCGCCGTGCCCTTGAATGGCGCGCCTCCGCCTCCTGCTCCTCCTCCTCCTCGGCTTCTCCCCTTCGCCCCAGCCGCGCCTGAGCGGGGCTTGAGGAGGATGCGGCTCCTTCTGCGAGCGAGACCTTGACGGAGCTCGCCTTCCCGGCCCGCTTTCCGCCAGCATGGGCTACACGGACCCCACTTCCAGCCGGGATCTGCTGGGGAACCGAACTTTGCTCTTCATCTTCATCTGCGCCTTCGCCGTCGTCACTCTCCTGCAGCAGATCTTGTACGGGAGAAACTATCTCAAGAGGTACGAGAGGAGTTTTTCCTCGCTGTCTTTTAGGGAGGGAGGGAGAGATCCTGGGGATAAACGAATTGCGGGCGGGGGTCGCAGATTTATTTATTTTTAACCCTCCTGAAAGTATGCAAAAGAGGCTTCTGGGACCTTCGGAACCAACCGTGCGAACAGCCTCGCGCGCTCTTCCCAAGGAGTGAGTTGAGCAGGACTTTACTCCCGAGTAAAATCGTGAGCGGGATCGCGCCGTACGACTTGCCCGTCACCCTCTACATCCCGTAACTTAGGCAAAAACGGGCGCAGGTCTGGGCTGCGGGGCTTGCAATCCTCTTCACAGGATTGAACCCAGCGGGACTGAGGAAGCGCAGGATAGGACCGGGCTGCCTTTGGGTTTGGGCTTGTGGCTGCACCAACCCACTTGCGCCAGATCCGGAGCGGTGCTGGTCCCTTAGCCTGGACGCGTGTTGGTGACTGGTGGTGGTTGTGTGTGTTGTAACGCAGTGAGCCCAAATGGCCAAGACATGCAAGAGTTCAAGCTCGGTGCGATGCTGTGTGGGCAGATAGCCACAGATGTTTCAGAAGCAGGCACTGTGCGTGCCTGGATGGATATGAACACATTTCCTGGTTTAGTGTCGCTGTAAGAACTCCCTGCAGCCATTCTTTACCTTGTAAGGCTTTGCTCAGTTTGGGCTAGAGGGCTGTTGGGAGGTAAAACTTCTGCCTTTGGAGTGATAACTACAAAGTGTGCAAAATGCAGCTGTACAGGGGTACCAGATGCTAGGCTCTTAAGTTAGTGTAGGGGCAGCTTAAGCCACCTTGCTGCACACTTTGGAGTCCTGCCACTCTGTTTTGGTTGGAGAGCTGGGCAGATGCCCTGTGCCCTCAAGGCAGCCTTTGCCAGCCTGGTGGTGCCCTGCAGATTTTGGGGGCTGGAACTAATGGGAATCCAAAAAGGCTGCCTTAAGCCCACTCTTCCCGTCCCACTAATCCAGCACTCTTGGAATATGTGGAGACAAAAATTGCAGTTTCTCTCTCTCTCTCTCTCTCTCTCTGTGTGTGTGTGTGTGTATAATATATATGTGTGTGTGTGTGTGTGTGTGTGTGTGTGTATACCGTATTTTTTGCTCTATGAGACTCACTTTTCCCCTCCTAAAAAGTAAGGGGAAATGTGTGTGCGTCTTACGGAGCGAATGCAGGCTGCGCAGCGATCCCTCTTGTTGTTCTGGCTTCTGAGATTCAGAATATTTTTTTTCTTCTTTTCCTCCTCCAAAAACTAGGTGCTTCTTATGGTCTGGTGTGTCTTATAGAGCGAAAAATACGGTGTGTGTGTGTGTGTGTGTGTGTGTATATATGTGTGTGTGTGTGTGTGTATGTATATATATATATATGAATGATCTAATTTGGCATTATATATATTTCTACAGCATAGATATTCCAAGCTTTACTGTGTGTTGAGGGCTGCAGAACAGCCTTGTTTTATCAGAATGACCCCAACCTGAGAAATTGCAAAGTTTGCTGCCTTGTTTCATATGCAGAGAATACACCCCATCTTTTCCCCACTCATCTCCTGCTACTCACTGGTGAAATGCTGTCACCCATTTCTTGCCCATACGTACAGGCGTGTTTCTGTTTTGGGTCCTTTACTACCACTACCATCACTTCTTCTTCTTAGATCTTATCTTTCCTCCAAAGAGCTCAAGGTAATTCTCTCCTCCCCCAGCCATTTTATCCACACAACAACTCTGTGAGGTAGGTTAGGCTGAGAAATAGTAATTCGCCCAAGGTCACCCAATGAGCTTACTGGCTGAGTGGGGATTTGAACTCTGGCTCCCCAGGTCCTAGCCTAACTCTCTAACCACTACACAACACTGGCTGTTCCACTTTCCCATTGTCTGTTCCAATACATGGAGTCTTTGCCAAATGGATGCTCTGTGCATAAACATATTTCCTCATATGAAATGCATGCCTTGTATGCTTCTGCCAGAACAAGTAGCAAAAAGTGCCTTCCATCCTCCTTTCATGGAACTGAACCCCATTTGAACAGGTCAGCTTCCTTCTGATTAAAAGCATGCATTAGCTTGGGCTAAATAGTTATGCAAATGAAGAGGATGCTTCAGGTTCCATCAAGAGAGAAATTATCACACCTGGGCACCATTGAAGTCAATGGATTTGTCAGTGATGAATTCAGCTGGCCCATTCATTTCAATGGGATGTGGGCTGCAATGGCCTTTCCCTGAATTGGGATCAGCAAATGTAAAAATTCAGCGAGTGTAATAATGTAAATTGTTCTAGTCACAGGTAGGTAGCCGTGTTGGTCTGTCGTAGTCGGAACAAAATTTTAAAAATCCTTCCAGTAGCACAGGGGTCAGCAAACTTTTTGAGCAGGGGACTGGTCCACTGTCCCTCAGACCTTGTGGGGGGCCAGAATATTTTTTTGGGGGGAAATGAACGAACTCCTTTGCCCTACAAATAACCCAGAGATGCATTTTAAATAAAAGGACACATTCTACTCATGTCAAAACATGCTGATTCCCGGACCGTCCGCGGGCCGGATTGAGAAGGCGATTGGGCTGGATCCGGCCCCCGGGCCTTAGTTTGCCTATCCATGCAGTAGCACCTTAGAGACCAACTAAGTTTGTTATTGGTATGAGCTTTTGTGGGCATGCACACTTCTTCAGATACTTCATGCATGCACACGAAAGCTCATACCAATAACAAACTTAGTTGGTCTCTAAGGTGCTACTGGAAGGAATTTTTTTTACAAAGTAAATTGTGAAAGGGGACTTTTCTCAAAGGACAAATGGGGTCTAGGCGTTCAGAGAATATAACATCAATCCTATGCCGGTTGCACTGGCTGCCGATTCATTTCCAGGCTCAATTAAAAAGTGCCGGTTATGGCCTTTAAACAGTGGCGTAGGACGCCTGCTTTTCCCGTTTCGTAAGTTCATTAGTAATAATGAACAGGTGCCAATTGCAAATACAGTATTAAGCAAGCTTGGCAGTTTCAACATTTTTAGCTTTGTTTACCAAATACAAGTAAAATAAAACATGCTACATTAGATCACTCTCTACTGGAGCATAAGGATTTCCCCACATGGAAACTAACTTGCAAAGGAAAATGTTCTGGAAAAAATTACAACACAGATTTTTCCGGAAAACCAATACCATCGCCTTTCAAGCCCTAAACTCAGCCTCACCAATTTTGATGCCCTCCAGATGTTGCTGGACTAAAACGTCTGCAATTCCTGACTGTTGGACATGGCGGCGGCTGGGAGTTGAAGGCTAACAAGATGTAGAGTTCACCCCAAAGGCTACTGCTGCTCTAAATGATTTGGGACCGGGTTGTTTGCAGGACCTCCTGCATCTATAGGAATGCACCCAGGTGTCGAGATCATACTTTGGGGTCTGGCTCATGAGCCTGCTGTCGGGATCCATCAGACTGGTGGGTGTTGAAGACAGGGCCTTTTCTGTGTTAGCCCTGCATATGTTGGAAATTCTCTTCCAGAAGTTTGATTGGCTCCGTTTTTTAGACAGCTGTTAAACAGACCGTAAACACTTGCTTGTTCCAAACTGTGTTCTGTTTAAAGTGAGGTCGCTCTTAGCTTTTGAAATTGCCTTGTTTAATTTGTACATATTTTTTTAAAAATCTGTTACGTTTTTGATGGGCTTTTGTAAGCCACCTTGGGAGGGCTGCTTCTTTATTTAAAGGGGGATCCACAACAAAACGTTGCAGCATGGAGTTGCACAATTCAGCCAGCCAGCCAGCCAGCCAGCCAGCCAGCCAGCCAGCCAGCCAGCCGTGTCCTTTCCTAGGCTACTCCATTATGTTCCCACTGATTTTTCTCTCTTTCCCGCCAAATAGTCAGCAAACATTCTGAGTTCTCAATGAGCTGCTTTTGGCTCCCTCCCCTTTAAGGATTTTTTAAAAAGGTATTTTTTTTGGGGGGGGGAAGGGTAGTCTTGACAACCCTCAGTTTTTCCTTAGCCACTGTGTTGCATGTAGGTAATGAGATTTTTGCTGTATAAAGATTGTCACTTGGATAGTGAGTTTGCTGTTAGTCTATCGTATCTATAGCACTCCCTCCCCCTTCGGCCCAAATGCGCTGTGTCAGGAAGATTTTGGGCATCACATGGCAGGACAGAATGAATGAATCTTTATTTGCATCAGCTGCCAGCCATAGCAATAAAACAAACAAAATGCGGTATACAGAGGATAAAGGTAAAAAGTCAATAAATCAATAAATCAATCTGTCGCCTAGCCCTTGTCATTCCCTGGGCCTGAGGGTCCCTCACCCAGAAGCTGCCACTTTCAATTCCATAGTCCACCACTTGGCAGATCTAAGATATGATCTAGGGCTGGGAAAGAGCTTTTCTCCGCCTGGAGTCTTGAGGAGCAGCTGCCAGTCAAAGCACACAACACACAGTTTGGTGCTGATGGTTATGTGGCTTGATTTTTTATTCTTACTTGCTCCCCTCTTCTCTGGAGGTGTACCAGGCACATTCTCCTTGTGTTCGGCTTCTTCCTGGAAGTGAGGTCAATGGAGATCTGTGGATTTATATATTTTTTTAGAATAATATTTGCTTTATTTACAAATTTATACAGGCAGCGACTGCTTTAGGTGCATCTCATATGTGTGCGATTGCGTGCATGTGCATCGCGCCAAACCCGAAAACGTCTCAAAAACTATTGGGACAGGGATGGGGGACAGGGTGTTTTTCAGGCTTTTCCAATGGGTGTTCCGATTATACACGATTTCACGCAAGCGTGCAATGATCCAGAATGCAATCACCGTGCAAACAGGGCGTTGCCTGTAAGTAGGAAATGAACTCTTTCAGCTTCTGCCTTCTGGAGGAAGGTACAGGGTTATAAAGACTAGGACTAGCCGCCTGAGAAACAGTTTCTATCCAAATGCGATTTTGGTTTTAAACGCAGTGTAAGGTAGTCTCTGTGGGAGTATATTGTATTTAATTATGGGGTATCAGAGTTTTTAGGGGGTTAACCAGGCTGGGACAGG